TGAAATAATCAGTAACAATGATTACAAACGACTGCCGCTAAATAACCTCAGCATGATAAAGGTATACAATGCTGCTTTCAAAAACAAATAAAACAAATAGCATTACCATACTCACACTGCGAGCCGCCACTCTAGTTCTACGACGTCGAAAAAACTCATAAAAATATCAGCATGAACACATAAGCCATGTGTTAACGCGCGCGTGTTTGAGCTGTGAGTGTTCTGAAATAACCTTTAAACTTCATTGATGTACAATTAACCCGCTTAAAAAATCAGGGTTTTGTCTCGGGGGTTTTGTAACTAATACCAACAAGAGTTTACGACTTTGGAATTATCTAGATAGCTACTGTTTGGGGGATGGTATGGCGCTACGAATTCTGCACTTCGTCTGAATTAGGATCGCCAGATATAAAATAAACTACTTAATTAGTGATCGTAAATGGAGCGGAAACCAAACATGGCATTGCACGAATTTTCGAGTAGATGATTCATTCTACTGAAGAATAATTATGACATGGAGATATTTCCAAGCAACCACCCAGGAGCGTAGCGTCCATGGAAGCACACACGCATGTGCTTACATCTGAAGTCTGGAAAAAAACCATTATTTCCTGAAAGCATTTTTATCATTAACTCAGGATGACTGACAAATTGTTCGCACTATATTAGTGTCTTTGTGCTGGTATTTCCTTTATCCATTTATTAATTCCATAAAAGGACGACAAGAAACGTTACATAGTGGGGTGAAAAACGAAAAAATGTACCCTTCCCTGCCCCCTCACAGTGTCAGGTTCACTGGTCCCCAGGTATTCTCGGTTTTTCCGTAAACACTGTACCTTACCGAAGACACTAGAGATGTCCTTCGAAAAACCCTATAAAATTTTAACCAAAAATTTTCTGGGGAAGCATGTCCCCGACTTCTCTTGTTTGGACCGACGCCGGCACTCTTTAACTTTTCTTCCCATGCATACACCTTCAAAATCTCACACTACGCCTATGCCACTGTTACGGATTCGCGTTAGTCTTGTGAACCGCCGTAAAATTTACATGCACAGTTGATAACGCTAGTTACGGCATGTTCTTGAAGAAAAGCAAAATTGATCAGTTGATTGAAAAATATCTTGGGTCGATACCGAAACGTTATTAGCACAATGTGCTTTTGGATGGCCTTACAAAGGTTCTTTCTTTTTTTTTCCCCCTTCAATTTAAGTTAGTTTGCTTCTCAATTAATTTTATCTTATTTATTATTATTATTATTATTATTATTATTATTATTATTACTGATTTTTGTAAACGTCCCTCTTCTTTGTAATCGTCAATTTACTCCTTGGAACGTCACTTTTTGGCAGAATTTAAAGAAAATTGTTGCTGTAATCTTACAAGATCTGACTTCGCACTGGAGCAACACTGCAGCTAGTCACGCCAGGCAATAAAATTATTTGCGAATGAAGTGCAAAAACTGTGGGCTAAAAATCACTTGCAAACTCAGCACGAGGACCGTTATAAATGATATTGGCCGGGGATGATGGCAGTAAATACGGTGATACGAGCGCTGCGGATTGCGTACGTGGTGAACGCGAATTTATGACATTCCTGAGCAAGTGAGGTAATATTTCCTTCTTGTTAGCACTGATGGGATGGGCCGATGGAACTCTCTTCACATACCATTTTGTGCCAGATCTTCTGATGTTTTGATGTTTTCAATGATTAGAACACATAATTATTTATCATGACATTACTTATTTCTTATCGTTAAGTGCAAAAATAAGTTTTACCTTTTGTTTGCGTAGGTAGCAAATTTACATTAAAAAGCTGTTAGAAGCAAACAGTTATGTCTTCTATGTATACTGTAGTGTTTGTATAAACCACCACCTGTGTCAATAGGTAACTAATTTCTTCACTTTCAATGACTTCTTGACGGTCCACAAGGAAACTACACTATCTCGATCTTGATCGGAAAAGCAGTAACTCAGATCAGTAACTTTTATCTATAAACGTTCGCCAAAGTAAGCCTTCAGCAGTACTAATTTTCACAGCACGAAGTTTAAAAGAAAAAAGAAAAAAAAAAGGTTTTAAAAATCAGTAAATGAATTAAAATTTATTGATTGAAAGTAAAACAAAAAGAAAGTCTAATTCTAAAAAAATATATGTTTCAGACCCATATTTGAATAAAATATATATATTATAGTTAATATTATTCTAATAATATAATATAGTATAATAGTAAAATATTAAAATATTAATTATTTATATTATTGTTAATGCCGAATCGAAACTTTTGAACTCTGTATCGTAACTACGCAGTAACGTTACCGACACCTGACAGTCAGCGGAGTTCAGTTGTAACCTTCACCATGACGTCATTAGAAACGTCCACTTAGCAGTACGTGTCATGATTTCCCTTAAATCCTTTTCTGCTCTTTTGAAATTATTTTTATATGATAGTTTTATAATCAACTGAGTGACAAACACTAGCGTTAAACAACAGTAACGATAAAGTATGTTACTTAAAATCCTTGGAAGGTGTTTCTCGTTCTCATTACAACTGTTTATTATTCAAGTGAGGATTTGTGAATGCGCTAAGAATCAAGGCAATGTAATAACCGTCACCGAACCTGGAAAAGATGCCATTTGGAAATCAGGACCCAACTCATATTCCATTACATGGTCGCAATCAAAGTTCTCATTTAAATGGAACATAGTACTATTAGACAGCGAGCGAAACAAAATTACGGATATTTCAACGGGATTAAGGGAGTTTAATGAGGTAAAAATGACACATCAATGGCTTGTTCCTTCAAGTGTTCAAAGTGGAAGTTACAGAATTCAAATATGTGCCACTAGTGTTCCTGACGAATGTGGAAGCAGCGACGTATTCTCGATCAGGAATAGTAAAAGTAAGATGTTGCAGTAACTTTTATTCAAGATTAATATGTTGTGAAGGTTTGAACCAATATGTTTTGCATTCATAACGTAATGTAAATACACCTGTTATTTTAACCCCATTCAGTTTCGACTGATGCCGATTTTGACACAGGACATATTCGTTTTGGCTTATACTTAGAACCTGCATGAATAACACTATTAATTATTTCTTGTAGAAGTTTCCTCGATAGTCAGTAGATGGGAAAAAAAATATCCTTAGTGATGATAAATAAGTCTCGCTGCTGTTTTCGCGCCGGTAACTATAACATTCTTGCACGGAACATTTGCTCTTTTATTTTCTTTTCTTTTATTATTTTTTTTTGTCATTTCGCTTTTTTTAGCCTAGAGCTATGATTAGTACGACTATCTAATATATTTATTTTAAGATTTACTGTAGCTCAGCCATTGATTTTCCCATGTGTAATTATGATAATATTTTGTTCTAATTATCTAACTGAGGGAGCCCATTCCTTATAAGCCCGGTGGCTTCTCTTGGGCTTCCTCGCCATGAGAGTTTAAATAATTAGATTTTATTTGATTTGTACAATTTTTGGCAAACAAAACAATAAACAATAAACAACATTTAAACATACTGCGAACAGAGCCATTTAGCGGCTTGCGAAGGAGATCCGTACAGGGTTTAACTGATCCCTTGCCTTAAAATTGGGACGTGAAGATAAAAATAATCTACTACATTCAAACATTCCTGACTCCTGGATCCTAGCGAGTGAAAATTCAATTAAACTGGCTGTATATTTTCAGAGTATTACAACCAGCTTTGGTTGGACTCGTGCGATTGTCTTAATAGGGAGCGCAAACATAAACGTTTTCGAGCACCGCGCGTCAACCTGAAGTGTACTTTTCACATTCTTGGGCAAAGTTTAGCAATACACTTTATTTTTATGAGGGAAAAAACATCACTTCCGTTTGACGTGCGTCTCTCAATAACTTCTTTGCGTAAGCTCCCTTTCTTCCTGGCAGTAAACACTGATTACGTTCTGAGTTAGAATCCTCTATTCAGTTCTTTTTAAACTAAAATTGATAACTTTTGCTTATATTTTACGCTAGACCCTGGCGCTGCTGATGAATCTGATTTCGATGCATTCTCCTCCGTACATGATAACCAAGCAATACCTTTTGCGCAGCTTTCCAATATAACGGGAGAAAGAAAAGCAAATTTAAAAATCCTCTTACCTCACGAGCTTCGCCGTCAGAGACGTTTGGAAAAGGAGGGACTTTACTTTAAGCGTATGACAGAGCAGATAAGAAGACAGAAATTAGAAGAATGCACGATCGAGCGTGTCCACCAACCGTCAAAAGAGGCGTTTGTGGAACGATACATGAAGCATGGTAAACCTGCTATATTGACGGGAATGATGGACAGCTGGGAAAGTACAAAATCCTGGAAGTTTGAAGAACTTGGTACGAATTAACGAAGAGAAATCCCCCTTTTCTCTTAGGGTCTTGAAACTCGATAAATCGCACCTTTGACTAAGATTGAACACTCACTAGAGAGGGTAGTTGTGGTAGCTCTAAAAGGAAGTTTTTCGGTACGATCTCTTGCATGCACTAGGCATTAGCTCTTGCTATTTTGTTGTTTAAGCTCCCCTGCTTCAGCTTGCCAATCGTCTTCCCAACTGACAAACAAAGCAATTCAATCATGCAATAAATTTTCAGTCTTAGTCCTGCAAACAACCATGAAAGAGCTGAGACGTTTCAACAATGATACTTCCAAGTTTATCAAAGTTTCCTATCCTTTAAAGCAAACGCCATTTAGTGTTGATGGCAGCTAAGGATTCATCTTAATGTTTCTATTTATTTTCTTATTTACTTTTTATTTACCTATTTATTCATTTATTTACTTACCTATTAATTTGTTTTCTTGGTGTTTTCTCGCCACTTTCCTACCTGGGTGAAAAGGGCGTTTAAATTGATTAAATTTTTTTTGAGATCGGCTGCAAGTTGTCTATAGACCATAGAAAAAGATCGTACTTTCAACTCGAAATTTTTGAGATGTCTAATATTTGACATTATTTCCTGTAGGAAAGGTTCTCACCAAAGGGGTCAAGGTTGAC